TGAGGGTCAACCTCATGAAATGGCTCCAAGAACCAGTTGCAGAAATTAATCCTGCCACCAGGGTCACGCGGTTGTAAGACATGGACTACGGTGTCCTTGCGCGCCCGACGTTTCAGCAGCTTCGTCGTCGCTTAGGCTGCCGACGATTTCCAGACGCCGGTCACTTGTGAAAGGCGTCTCTGTGATTTATGTAGCGTGTGTTCGAACCCAGCCCTTATTTCGCCTAGTTTCTCGGTTAGCACACTGCGCCTTTAACAGGATTCTTGTCTAGAAGTAACCCAGTAGACCTGACTTTGTTGATACGTTCATGGCTGTAACTGTGATCTCGGGAAATATAAGACAGAAATTTCTTCGACAGTTTCTGGCGCAACGAAATTCAACACACGACCCATAACCAAAACACGCCGTTCAACAGCATATCGAACCACATCGGCCCACACAACGACAATCAGGATTTGACCCGATGTTGGACACAGCTGTGTTTCCGTTGCTCCTAGCGCTTGGCGATGACTCGTGCAGCTCCTGCCGCGAACTGGGAAGTGACAATTGAGTTCCGGTTCAATGAGTGAAGGCGACGGATGGCGGCCATTATACCGGAAGTACAACATAGACGAAGTCTTCGGAATTTTAGTGGAACATTACTTAATTTCGTGCTGGATGTTTGCCAAATACCTGGGGGAACACGAAACGCGCTCAATTACTCAAATTTGCTGTTCGCGTTTTGCAAAAACTGCCTTCATAACACAGACTTCTTTTAATAGATTGTAGTGATGTATCCTCTTCCGGACGCTTCATATTTGTGGGGACGTTCGATTTGTTAGAAGTGTAAATGGAATACATTTTTGGATCATTTCGGCATAGGATTTGCAAAATTGTTGCAAGTGAGACAGCAAGCGCCCTTGCAGTGGGCCCCGGCGACAGGTGTTTCTTTGCAGTCCTCTCGATGTCTCGGTGAACATTTCGGCTCTCTCCCGCGTTGTAGCGGCGTGCGGTCTGGTAAAGGTCTGTCAACCTTTCAGAGGTCCTTGCTGCCTCCATCAGGAGGATATTTAGTAAAATCCTGCAAATTTAAATGAAGCAGACAACATCCAGCGTAACCGCTCTGACGATTCAGAAAGCAGGCTACTCTGAAACGTCGGGAAACGTCTATGAGACTATACGGAGCGCCGACCCAGAAGTCACCTTCATACTCCGCCACGATAACCTGACGGACGGACAGACTAAGGGGCACGATTTCCCAGTTTAGATTTATTTTCATCTCTGCATAGAAGACCGGTGTTTCTGGCGCACGGCAGAAACAAGACAGACTCGGAAGACAGAAGAAGCGTTCGAACTGGGAAGGAAACACGCGTAGCAGCTACACGGGACCGCTTTCAAATTACTTCATCTCGCTTAATTGAAACATTGTCGGCCTCCTTTATGATTCTCTGCGGTCCCTTTGATGGCGAAGTCCGCGGGATGGCAGAGCAGGATATTAAGACGCCTATGAACCCACATGAATTTAACGGACATTCCAGTGTTACATTCACTAGCAGATGGACACAGGGGACACGGCTGTTCCGCACGGTCCAGGGCGCCGATCACACGTCAACACAAACGTCGCAAGATGAGGGACTCCTGTAGCCTGGGACACTAACTACGCGTTTTCCAGAACCGTCTTCCGCCATTTCGCGTGCCAGACAGTCCCCGATGTTCATTTAATGCTATTATTTCATATCAAAACGACGCTAAAGAAAACATTCATCTTTACGATCAATTACATAATTTTTATCGTCAAAATATTTTAAATAAACGGTAGCATTTAAATCCAATGTTTTCTGTCGTTTCGACGAAACCTGAATCTAGAGAGACGCTTTAAATTTTGAGACACTAAAAGGATATCTACCGATTTTCTGCGTAGGGTGTTGACACTCGCCTTTTGTTTTGTTTAAAGAAATGTCTTTAGAAGTGCGAGACGAGTCTTAAGGATTTTATTTTTTCCTTTACCGAAGTCCACGAGAACGCCTCTAAGTTTTAAAACCTTGTATCAGCGCATCTGAACTTAAAACCGATAAATGTTTTCGGTTCGCCAAGAATGTTATCTTCTGAAAGATGCAAGGGAACTGAGAACAGACTCGTTTCCAGGAAACGGTTGAAGAAACACTAAACCTTTCGAGACACTTTTATTATCTCTGCTTAGAACTTTACAGCCTGTTATTAGCTGTAGTTTCAGTTAACCTAACAAGACTGAGAAATTTACATTAGCCACTGCTGTTTCGAAATACTTTACAGTCGTTGGAAGTTGAAGAAGTCTCGTAAAGTTCGTGGGTTCGTTTTCCTTGGAATGGTGTACGCGCGTTTCTAAATACTTCTGGAAGTTTTTCGGTGACTTCAGACAATTAATATTCAGTCAAACTGCGCTGCTGGTTTATCGTCGCGGTAAACATACGGGGCGTGTCTTCAATGAAGTCTTTGTTCTTCGGTTTGTACCTCACAACACGATCACGTCAGCTACTTCCTGACTGTTGACCAAAGACGCCATTTATAGTCTAACGCGCACAATTGCAAGGCGGATTACGAGGCAATCTTTTCGTTCCTTCTGAGCCAATCGGTACTTATCCTAGAGGCAACAGGAGTCACTTTGCCATAAAATTCGTTTGGGGTGGGTCCCGTTCGAACCTCACTTCCAGCGGCGGAAATAGCTAATTGCATCTCCAGACTGATTAAGAAATCCAATTCAAGGAAGTCCTTCGTGAGAAGTGAGGTAGTAGTCTCTCTCAGATTGTCAAGAAATTCTTCACGAAGTCAAAAAGGTTCTGATTTCCTGCGATTTGAGGTTCTCGCTGCGTTGTTGCGCCATTTACTCCTGTAGACGTTTACCATTATTTCGGATATGTGCTTGCCGCCTCCATCACAAGGGCGATCGCCTAATCTACCAGACTGCACGGCACACCAACCAAAAGACAGCCATCTTCTTTGCCGCGCTCAGAAATCCATCCACTGGACCCTGTCCACATTGTCTCACACTCTGTATCTTTAAGATACGCCCTCATAAAGGCACGCTTCAACCTGCAGTTTTCCCGAAGGACTCGCAATGCGCGACGCTGTTTTCGTAAGCTAAGAACACGTCTCGCGCACCTTCCATCGATCTCTACCTGAGTTTCTTCACATTTTCCGTCATGAACCCCTCATAATGTTCAGCGGCATGACGAGAGGTCAGGAGAGCTTGTGGGCCGCTCCACATCCAGACGTGAGGTAATTTGTTCTACTCTCCTTCATGGTAACGGAGACTAGTCCTTCTCGAAACACAGCGTCCATTCCGACAAACTGCACAAAACTAAGTCTCTAACTCCACGGAGTACACCCATTTTTGAAAAGCTCATATTACGCTCTACTAATCAAGACATTTCCCACTTTTCACGGGACTCGAAGGTCCAGGACCGCAGTCACAAGATCCCGTCAGCAATCCTTGAATGTTCCCTTTTTATATCGAGCTTCGGGGGTTGGGACGACACAATTAAAATATTACCATCTCTAGACAAACACGACATCAACACTGCGATCCACTTGCTGTAACTCCGATACGGCGCCACCTTTACCCCAAAAAACTGCGATCAAATAATTCCGGTCCAGTCCGTTGTTTTACTCAGATACATGTGGCAGGGAGTCTTCAGCAACAGCGAAGTCGTCATTTATTCTAGTAACGAAAGTTTGCACGTCGGGTGCAGGCGTATAATCGCCTTAATCTTCGGGTACCATCATTGGTTTTGGGCAAATGCGCTGTTGAACAGTTCTCAGTGCCACGCTGAAAGAATCATCAGGAGTTCTCCAGAACAAACAAACGAATCTACCGGCCATTTCGCTTTGTCAAGAACTTCAAACCGCTTCACCAGCTTCGGATACTTGCACTCGCCTTCATATCATGTGCGGCACATCTTCTGTAGTCGCAGGAACAGTTAAGCGGAACCCAACAGGGACATGTGAAGACCGACCGACCGGCTTACAGTCCGCCACTGGCTCCCTGCATCCACGCTTACGTCTTGGCACTTCGCCGTTTCCCTCTGGGGCTGTGTGAGAGGCGGTTAAGTGTGCATATCGAAGATATTGTCCTCTGCAGGTAAACGTGTTGCGGTAAGCTGATCCCCCATCGAAGGCGCGGTGTGATGGACCCACACTAAACTTTTATTTAAATTAATATGTTGTTCCTTAATAGGCCTAAATGAAATGCACATTTAGAAATCCGTGGAAACAATTCTCGTTATTAGATCTGCCTTTAAGTTAAACAAGCGAAAATCCCTTGACAGATTTTCACAAATATTTGCACTATACGACGATCGTTAAGTGCAATTTTCATTCGTTGTGCTTGATTAAGCTCAGGGACAACTTCAACGATGACTCGTCATCGCGGAGATAAACATCTGTCCTGACGTCTGTTCCTTGGGGCCACTGTTTGGCGCCACGGCTTCGATAAGGAAGACTGGCTCACGAAAATCCATAAGATTCTCATTATGGATAAGCGACTACGTCATTTCTTCATACTTGAGGCTTATTTCAAGCAAATTCCAGGCGAAGAGGAAAAAACCACAAACAAAACACGGCAATAGAGCCGTGAGAGGAGGAAACTTCAACGAATGTAACATCTTGCGGCAAGGAAAATCTCTCGCCACAAGCCCGATGGTTTATTGCCGTGTTCACAGCAGTGGCGCCTTTTCTGAGCCACTTGAAACCAGCTCATATGAGACCATGTCTTTGAGATCATTTTAATATTATCCTCCCACATGAACCAAGGTCTACCTCCTAAGGCGTCTTTTTTTCCCCCCTTTCATTTAGATCATGGGTGGCCAACCCGCGGCCCGCATGTGGCCCGCCTTAAACATTTTTCCGGCCCGCGAGATTCATCACACTTTTACAAAATGTACGCTTAGTATCATTATTATTATATTATCTATGTTTACATGTAAGAATAATAGTAAACACAATAATAATAACTCATTATATTTCAATTTTTCACTCAAAAAAAATGTCTATAGTGTATCTAAATCTAATATGTGGATATATAATTTTATATGTGGCCCGCGGAGTTATGATGCATTTCCAAAGTGGCCCGAAAGATCATTTGGGTTGGCCACCCCTGATTTAGATCATTCTGAACATTGAATGCACGGGACGTTTCGGTAGAATTTTCGCACAAACACATTTTAATTAGCCTGAACAGTTTCATTGGCAGAAAAACATCAAAACATCGGGAAAATTCGAAAAGAATCCTGTAATAAACTGAATATTTTTAAAATAGATACGTCTCATATCTCTTCAAGAAGAACTCCATGCTCACAGAACAGCAAAGTCCCCCGTGCCTTTTCTCCGTCACTCGGGTCTCCCTCCTTCTGTGTGACCGTCAAACCGTCACACTTCCCCGCCACAGCCAACTTTGGCTCTTTGAAGATGCCTGGCAGGAGGAGGAGGGGGTACCATTCATAGACCACCCACGATGGCGGAAATCCTAGGGTTTGTGGGCGCGAAGTTAAAAAGAGCTTCCCCCCTCCTGTCATTCCGTCCGTCTGTCCGCTCGACCACCCAGGGAGCCTCGTGTTAAGAGCGCGAGGACCACACAAGACGCCACGTTGCAGCTCGCAGACACAAGGGCCTAACCGACTGCCGTCTCTGCATGCAAATGGCGGCCGGCAGGAAGCAGAACCGATGGTCCTCGCCTTTACGAAAACCGAAGTTCGTCCCCGTGCACACAAAATCGCATATCCTTCTTTTATTGTATTATCTACGCCTAGTTTTCGCGACTGATCGCTTCTGTTGAGGCTTTTAGTCCAACATTTCTACAAGCAGCTCATTGTTTTTGCAGTGGAACCCAACTTGTTCCATGGTAAGACATTGTGTCCGATGTCGAACATTCCGGTATCTATTGCGTGCCATTATCAGAATATAATTATTTATACACCGCCACGATGGTCTAGCGGTCAGAACACTAGCCTTGTAATCCTGGGGTCCCAGGTTCAATTCCCGGTGATGCCCGAACTTATAACTTGTGATGGGCAAGGCCGTGGTCTAGGCAACACGGAGTTTTCCTAC